TATTCGCAAAAACGGACTTCGAGGACGAAGTCTGGTTCAAGTGGGGGAGAATTGTAATATCTCGATGTTGAGGTAATTCCAACTTTAACCCTATGTATGAATAAATATTGCATTTTAGTCCTTGTGCATAAGAAAGATGCAAAATGGCCCATAGTGGAATTTTGGTAATTTCTGGTTGGAACTTAGTACGCTGGGCGTACACGCGAGGGACTTAGTACGCTGGGCATACTCTCCATATGCAGGGCGTACGTGCGAGGGTTCCAAACCCTAAATTTTAGGGTTTGAACCCTATTTAAACAACTTTATGACCTTAAGACCTTCACCCTAATCAGCCTCCACCTGAGAAAACGTCCCTCTAGAAAACCCTAAGTGAGAAGAGTGCATTTTGAGCTCATTTGTGTGCTTTGGTGGTGTTCTTGAAGAAGAAGAATTTGGTGCAAGGACCTTGAAGCTTGGAAGCAACTTAGATTCGGGATTCTGCACTTGCTAGCAACCTCCAGGAAGTAAAAAGCTTCTAACTTGATCATCATATCTTGTAGATCTAGTCATTTCTTCATTTAGGACATTTTTGGTCCCAAATATGGTGATTCTTGAGCACGACATACTCTTAAATGAATAAGTCGTCCTTTCAGACCTAATGAGGGGTCTTGAGTCATAAAAATGTGGTCTTGATGCTTAGTTTTTTCCCATGCATGCTCTAGAAGGTCTTAAGGTGTTAAGAAGTTGGGATTTTGAGTATTAAGCACTTATTGGACATGAAAGTCATAAAGTTGGAAACTTTATGACTCTTAGTGGTATTTTAGCCTTGGATCTGCATTTAGACGTATTAAGTCGAAGTAATAAGCTCTTAAAAGATTAAGAAGGGAACTGCTACGTACGCAGGGCGTACCAAATTGTACGCTGCGCGTACGCAAATTTGGCCCTGTCGCCTCGGACCGCTAGTACGCCTCACATACATCCGGAGTATGCCCCGCGTACGATCCCTGAGTTGACTCGGCTGACTTGTTGATTTTGACCAGTTTTGACCAAGGTTATTTTAGGAAAGTGTTATTAATTTAGAATGGGTAATGTTTAGACATTTAGGATTTGGGTTGAGCTGGTTGTCGAAGCTAGGAGTTATTCAGACTACATTCAGACTGTGAGGTGAGTTTTTTTTCCTCACTGTATCCGTGGGTCGACGACACCAAGGACGACTCACTAGATTATTTATCCTGGTCATGATAGTGATATGATAGTTGTAGCTGTTTAGTAGATCCGTATGCTTATCTGTATTTTCCAGCTCTGTGTTTATCTTGTTTGTTGCATATGTTGACATGTTGTGTTGGGTTGAGGCGGTCATGTTTTGTGCTGTAGGCCAAGACACCCGGGGACGACGAAATAAGCTGTAGGCCCTATGAGGCGGTTTAATCAGGCCGACGGCCCGTAGAGCGGTGCGGATAGGCTATAGGCCCTGCAAGGTGGTTCAGTCATACCAAAGGCTCGTAGAACGGTCCAGATAGACTGTAGTCCCTGCGAGACGGTCCAGTCAGGCTGGCTGTTCAGATTGTATGCTTGTTTGTTGTGGTGTGCTGGTACCTTGGGGGAACTCTGTAAGCCGTGACTTACAATTTTAGTTTATAGTTTCAGGTACTTCCAAGGATCGTGGGAAGGCGAAGGCGTGATCGTACACAACTTCTAGTTTTTATGTCTTCGGGTCTTGGGCAAACAGTATTGATTCATGGTTGGTTTTAAAAATTTTAAATTTATTGTGTTTTTTGGAATGTTACAGCCATCGACACCATTAACCCAAATGGAGGATTTTGGAAAAATTTGGAATGCACATACCAGTCGGTAAGTACCATTACACAAATAACCATGATTGCAACCCACAACCTACTTATTAGATTACCTTTTTATTGTATTATATATATATATATATATATATATATATATATATATATATATATATATATACTATTTTTATGATATAATATTTATACATAATAAATATTATTTTATTGAATTGTTAATTATATTTATTTAATTAAGTTTTAATAAATTATTTTTTTATTGGATTCTTATTTATTAATAAATATTATTTTAGATATATAATATTTTATATATTAAAAATATTATTTTATTGGATTATTAGTTTCTTTTTTATTAGATTAATTTTTTTATTGGATTATAATTTATTAATAATTATTGTTTTTAACATATAATATTTATTTATTAATTAACATTATTTTATTAGATTACTATTTTTAAATGTTTTTAATTTCTTTTAATTTTTTCTTTATTATTTTATATAAAAAAACCCAAAAATCTCACCCACCTAGCATCTCCTAATTCATTTCAAATATTTGGAAGATGATATATTTTGTAGAACACCACCACCATCACCCAGTTCGGCAATGGTAGGATGGGTGTGATTTTTTTTTTTTTAAAATAAATTAGGATGGTGGTGGTGTTATAAAAAAAAGAATTAATCCAATAAAAATGAAGGGTATGGTGTATTAACACGTGTTCTGCTTGTAATGCAAAACAAAAAGGGTCATCAGTTTGAAGTCGAGTGTTGAGTTTGACATCAATCAACTTGTTTTTGTTGACTATTACACCGTCTTTGTTAACCAAACAAATACAATTAAACAATACAACAGTTGAGGACTCACTGCCCTAATACCCAATCTCTAAGATCTCTTGCAATATGTCGTAGTAGTCCGACTCTTGTTCGACATTATACGCCTCTCCCATCACACATACTCCAAATTTATTCATCACAAGACACTTATCATATTGTTTGGATTAATTTCTTTTTGGACAACACCATCACCACCCTAATTTATTTTAATTTCACTTATCCCACCACTACCGGATTGGGTGATGATAGTAGTGTTGTAAAAATATGTTATTTTTCAAATATTTATAATAAATTAGGAGTTGTGGGGTGGGTGAGATTTTTTTTAAAAGTTTTTTGATTTACAATAATAAAGAAAACAATTAGAAGAAATTAAAAACAATTAAAAAATATTAATTCAATAAAATAATATTAATTAATGTAGAAATAGTATATATTAAAAATAATAACTATTTGTAAATTTTAATCCAATAAAAAAAGAATTAATCTAATAAAAAAGAAATTAAAAGAAATTAATAATCCAATCAAGTAATATTTTTTTAATATACAAATATTATATATTTAAAATAATATTTATTAATATATAATAATCAAATAAAAAAGAAATAACTAAAAAAAATTAAAAAATAATTAACTAGATGTAATTATTATTCCAATAAAGTAATATTTATTAATATATGAATATTATATATTAAAAATAATATTTATTAATATATAATAATACAATAAAAAAATAATCTAATAAAAAAAATAAAAAAAAGAATTAATTATAAAAATTAATGTATAATGATTGAATAAAATTAAAAAGAATATATGCATAAATGGTCATTGTAGTTTGGTTGCAAAAATAGACCTTAGTGTAAAATTGTCATTTTAAAATAGTTAACAACCCAGTTGTTAAAGTTAACATTTTTGGACAAAAAATGCACAAGGTATCCAAAATTGGACCATTTTTGCACCACAAAACATTTTTGGACAAAAACCATATAATTTTGACAACCACAACGATCATTTTTATAATTTTGTATAAGTAGTAACATATTTTAGAGTAAATTACACGAATCGTCCCTCATGCATGTGTCAAAATGCACGCTCAATCCTTATTTTTAAAAATTAACTCGGACCTTCCCTTGGATGTTTTAAACTTGCACGCTTGATCCCTCGTTGGATTAAATTTACACACTTCATCCCTTACCAGATTTAAAATGACTATATTACCCTTACCATTCTATTTTTAATTTATTTATAATTCATTTTATATCTAAAAAATAGAAATTACAGCTCATATATCTATCGCCCTTTTCCTCTTCCTCTCATCATATCAGTTGAACACATGAAACATCCTCACCACCACCTACCTGACCACCACCATCGACGACCACCTCTGACGTCGGATCACCGCCTACCACCATCAATGGACCACATCCCCCTTTTTCTCCCTCTCTCTCCTCTTTTTTCTCTGATCGGAGTACTACCTCTTCAATCCTTCACATTCATGAAACCTTAGCACCGTCACCGCCACCTCCTTCACTATAAAGCAGATGGTCGTCGGTAACCTCTAGGCCGTCATTAGTACCATTCTTCTATAGTCTCGATCTCCTCAAATAACCACCCTTTACCTCCAACAAGAACTTTTTGTGTTCACTTTAAAAAACAAACCCCAGAACTTAAGCTTCAAAAAGACGAGATCGGAAAAGGAAATCGAAACCAGAGCTTTAGATTCAAAGTATCAAAGAATAAGAGGGGGATATGTGGTGTTCAACGGAGGTGAATGTGGTGAAATCGAACCATCAGAACACCGATGTTGTCCCCTACGTGCCTCAAGAAAACCCTTACCCAAGTACTACACCTCGTCGCCTTCTGGATCTGCAACACCCCGACTGGAATTCTGAAGAAATCTGCTATGTCGATGGGTAGTAGCTGCTAGGTTTATGAAACGAAAAGAATAGAGTATAAGGTTTTCTGGGAGGCGATTGGTGGTGGTTTTAGTTGGGTTGGTTCGCGATTAGAATATTGGAGTCGGCCAGAGATGTTGCAGAAGTTGTCGGTGGGGTGGTGATGGTGGATAGGAGATGCACTGAAGAAGAAAGGGGGTGGGGGGACGACCGGACGAGTTATCAACGTGTTCAGGGCTATTTCTTTTTTTAAAGGAAATAATAATTATTTTATAATAAAAAAATCAATAATTAATTAACAAATAATAAATAACAAAATAATTAGAAAATAAATAAAAAGAAATAAATAAGGGCAAAAGGGTATTTTTATGTTCGGAAGGATGAAACGTGTAAGTTTAAAACTAACGAGGAGTTTTAAAAGATAGGGACTAAACGTGGAGGGATGTAATTTACTCCATATTTTAACTGTTGAGATTAGTTAGTCATAGCGATAACACCACCTTTCATTTGTTGCCGCACTTTTCCGCTATCTCGACCAGACAATACGAAAAGAGTAAAAAGGTGTTACCAACGTTTTGTCAAATTGTGGAGCAAATCCCAGCTCCAAAAATGGCGGCAATGATGATCATCATGATATCCCTCCCCGCAACAACAACAACAACAACGAAAAGTTCAATTGCTCCATTCCCCTTGTCATCGTCATCTTCCACCTTCAGTTACTTCACAACTAGAAGAAGAAAAAGCACACACATTGAATATATTGATCGATTTTCATTTAGGAGTACACCAACAGACAGCAATCCCGTAATCTTATCGAACTTCTCTGAAGGAGATGTACCTTCTCCTCCATCTGTTGTTTCTTCTTCTTCGTTAGATTCGGCTTCGGATGTTGTTAGAAGGTTCTACGAGGGAATTAACTCCCGCGACCTTTCGACGGTTGTGGATCTCATTGCAGAAGACTGCGTTTACGAGGACCTTGTTTTCCCCCAACCTTTTATCGGTCGCAAGGTAAAATCTTACCTTAACCCCAATTTTGACAATTTTTTTTTGGTTAAGTTGTATGATTTTCAACTTCAATTTTACATTTTGATTTTGGTTTTGATAAATAAATTTTAATGGCATTTGTAGCAACCTACATAATAATTAGGCCCCCATCATAAAACCTAAAGATTAAGTGTGCAAATCAAAGCAAATCACTATTGATATGTATTGGATTTGAAGTTCATCGTATCAGTAGTTCACTTGTACAAAGATAGCTGTTAAATACATTTTTCTGTAGATCTAATTATATCTTTCTTTTCAAGGCAATTGTTTGAGATCCAATCAAATTTTGCAGGCTATACTTGAATTTTTTGAGAAGTTTATATACACTATCAGCCAAGATCTACAGTTTGCCATTGATGACATATCTGGTGAAGATACTTTAGCTGTTGGAGTGACTTGGCACTTAGGTATATTTTTTTTCCCATTAAATGTTGTATGTATAAATGATGTCTGTTTAGAGTAAAGGTTGTATTAGCAAAGATTATCACCGTTGAATAAGAATAAGTCACCATTTTGCCCTTGTGTCCGGAAGATATTGAATAAAAATGAACGTTGTTTTTTTAGAACTTGTATAAATTGAAATTATAAATGACAAAAATTTAAAAAGATGTTTGATAAAGAGATCACCACAAACATATATAATTATAAATTAAAATATTCTTTTGTGAGGTGTCGAGATCTGTCTGTTGAATTATGTATTTTGTTTTTAACCAATTTTAGTTCTAGATGAAGTTATTGACATTGTAAAGAATTGCAGAATGGAAGGGAAAGCCTTTTCCATTTAGCAAAGGATGCAGCTTTTATCGGTTAGAGGTTGTAAACGGGCAACGAAAAATAATGTAAGTATGAGTGTTCATTTGTTTTATATATATATATATATATATATATATATATATATATATATATATATATATTCAGTTGTTAAATCTGGTGTCTTTTTTTTAAACGTTAAAAAAAAGTATAGCTGTTTAGTCATTAGAAAAAATAGTGAAGTGGTTTTGTGTATTTTACCCTTTCCTAAACGTAGAAAAGTTGTAAAATAAATTTGAAGTCACCTTTATTGCTGGATATCTATCTTTGTGACTTGCTGCTTTTTCTTTCTGAAAACAGTTACGGTAGAGACATTGTGGAGCCTGCAGTGAAGCCTGGAGACCTTGCTTTGGTTAGTCATTTTCTCTCCCTTCTTATATATTATATTTACACCACAGGAAATGACCATTTTACCCTTCTCTCGAAAATTAAAGCTAAATAAAAAAATTTGAATTTTATGAACTGTTATAAAAATCAAAACCAACTACTTTTAGTCGACACCAACAAACTACTATTAATTTAAAAAGTTTGTGTTATAAAAAGAAAATAAGAAAACCATCAGTTTTAAAATGTAAAATAAACCTAGTAGCAAATATGTTGATATATCTTATGCAGGTTGCCATTAGAGGGGTGACATGGCTGCTCCAACAATTCCCACAATTAGCAGACCGGTTCTAACTTGCTATATCTATCTATCAAGTAACACATATCATATATGGGGATAGGGAATATACATTACAGTCCCACCTAAGCTTAGGTACTAAACCTCTAAAATATGTCGTTTTAACTTGCTAAATATACTCGGTTTGGTTTCACTTGGTAAATATATCATCCTTCATAACATTTATTTCTTTCATTATCGTTTTACCATCTCTGTTTTCTTTCCTCCATTATCGTTTATTACTTCACCCAAGTGAACATTACTAAACCCTAAACCCTAAACCCTAAACCTAAACCCTAAACCCTAGACCTAAACCCTAAACCCTAAACCTTAAACCCTATACCCTAACCCTAATCCCTAAACCCTAAACCTAAACCCTAAACCCTAAACCCTAAACCTAAACCCTAAATCCTATTGTGTCGATCTTGAATTTACATCTTGAAGTATTAATCGTGAATCCATTAACCGTAATCTTTATATGGTAAAACAATGTATTTTCAAGAGGTTTAGTACCTAAGCTTAGGTGGGGCTGTAATGTATATTCCCTTTTCCCATCATATATATATATATATATATATATATATATATATATATATATATATTTAGGAAAAATGTATAGCTAATACATATTATCTTTCCCTGTAACCATACTTTTTCGGGGGAAAAAAAGGGAAGAATGATAGATTTTGTGATAAATTATATGCTTACGGTGTGTTTATCCATTATATTTTGTAGGGTGATATGCAAAAATGGCAACATACTTTCCTTGATTTCTTTATTTTTTATAGCATCTTACTTCTATTTCTTCTATTACACATTATACTATGAAAAATCTACCAATTATAGCAATTTTCATCCAAATCCACAGTAATTTACACTGCTATAATTTGGTAACTTTTTTTAAAATATGATGTCCTAATAAGAGAAAAGAATTTGGAAGTACAATGCCACAATTGGGTAAAATTTTAAAGTGCAAAGCTGTAATAAGAAAAAACTGAAAGGGCAATGTTGTAATAGAAAGAAATGAAAGTAGGATGCTATAATAGACAAATAAATGAAAAAGGAAGATATTTCTTGCACTTATCCCTATTATATACGAGTAATGTTATATCATTCTAAAGTCTTTAAAATTTATAACTATCATATGTTGATGTATCTATGAAGCCAAGCCTAGTAACAAAATGTTGTAATAATCTTTCTAGAACAGATATGAAATTTTTTAAATGACAATGAGTCACAGATGCATGAAAATGTCAATGTTACTTCTATATTTTTTTAGTTATATATATTTAAGATGTTGACGCCATTGACCGCTTCTTTGTATTTTATAAAACCTTCTAATCACCTTTATTTGATTTTAATCAAAAGACCCAGATTTCAAAATTTTGTATGTTCAGAGTGATTCGAAAATGCAGGGAATTTTCGAAGTAACTAGTAATCTAATTTTTTTTTTCCTCTGATGAATTTTGGGTACTCGTATGAGAATATTGTTTTTCATCGGTTGGTCCAACTTGTTTTTCATGAATGTCAAGGAAAACATAGTTTTGAAGATTGGCGTGCCATGTGGATTTGACTAACCAAGATGGACAATTTTCAATTTGACTGATTTCTCTTTTTGTTTTTTTTAACCATTCATTCTTCTCTTCAACCTGTTCAAGAATATCATCTCTTCCTTTTATTGTGTTGTGGTTGTCCTCACACAACTTTTCGACATCTGCTTCTTGAGCTTGCATCATAGTTTTCATCTCTTTGGACATCATCACCTAAGGGCAGAGTGGAGGAGCTTGAACTTGAATGCTTACCCTTATGTGAGATTTTTGACCAAGTCACACATTGTTGAGTAATGAGAAAGGTGGTGTCGAAAAAGTAATGATATTTAGCATGTTTATATAATGGTGGGAAGGAGTGATGGGTGGAATGTAGGTGAGGAGTTAGCTGAGATTTAAAACCCAGTTACCTGAGATATTTAACCGAGTTATGATATTTTTAATGTTTAACCTTTTTTATTTAGCGGATGTATGAATTGCTTTTTAAACTCTACAAGTCTTTTTAGGCAAAAATGTTTATTGATTTATGGTGGTGGTAAAAGTCAATAAATAAAACAATGTTTGGTTTAAAATCCCATTTTGAAGATATTATGGTTAAAAAGCTGAAAGGTGTTTCAGAAAGTCATGTTTTGCATGTTTTTTTTATTTTTTATTTTTATTTTTTTATGAAGCCAATGAAAAAACTATATTGAAAAGTGTTTTTGAGTTTGAAAAACACTTGTTTTTTACTTATTGAGTTTTCAAAAAAGTCAAAAAGTTAATAAATTATTTTGAAAAACAATCTCAAACACCCCCTTAAGTACGTAAGTAATATATATCTAAGTACATATTTTTGTTACATACAACAAGAAAGATACAATACACATCATACCACAAACTAGATATTAATTACAAAAAAAATAAATATTTAAAATAGTATCAATTAGTACACTCTAATCATTATACATAGGCACCCGAGATCCCTAAAATTTTCTAGTCATATGCTTATGAAGGGCCATACATATGGCCTCTAGTGTGACTTTTTCTACTATGTCATCCACTAATGGAGAATCAAAAATTAAATACAGGAGACACATACATACAAAAATGTCACGATCTCCCAATGCCTTCCCTTGTCAAGACACCCCTTGAACATCATTCCACTATAGCTACACAAAACGAAGCTCGATACATATAATAATATATAATATCTAATAACGGGTCGACGTTGTGTTCAAACCATTTGAATCTTTGTTTTAAACTTTTGAAGTATTTCGACCTACTACAACATCCAATGTGATTTAGGGATACTGATTACAAAATATACCTATTAAAAACCTTGTTAGTATATGGTAAGTGTTATAATTCAAACTATTCAGTACAAATATACTCACATTGTCAAATTTTTCCATGACCCCGTCCTTAGTGTCCCATGTGGATATTTTGACAACTCAAACAACCAATCTTCATTAAAAAAATTATGTTGCCACAATCACTTGATGATTGATATCTGTCTTCCCCTCTAGCAACATTTTTATCCATATCATCATATGATGTGTATAAAACAATTAGACATCATAATGGAGTTATATAAAACTTTTTAAGATATCATTTTACTATATAAAGGTTTCATGTAAGGTTGATCACTATTTGGATAAAACTTAATTGGACAATCGGACAATTTGGATTGAACTATTTTGTTCGAAATTTGGATTTTTGGATCAGTTTTAACAAAACCGAATTATTATTTTGGATGTCGAATTGATTTTCGTTTATAAAATAAAAACCAAATAGTCCAAAAATACCGAATAACAATTTACTAGTTATTTATTTATATTATTTATTTATAATATATATCTTTAATCATTTATAAATTTACTAAATTATTTTCTAATAGACCTGAAGGTTTCATCAAGTATAATATCTTAATATGTACTTAGTCAAGTATAATATATTTTTCTTACTAGTTTATAAAATTTAATTCATAACTAATAATTGTTTTTAGGTTCTTTTATAAAATTGGTTAATATTGAACTTATATTGTATTTGGAATAAACATTTTTCTTCATAATGGATTTTTAATTGGGGAGCTTTACTTCAATAAAAATGAAATTTTTTGGTTGTGAAAATGGAACGTTACAAGTTGGTATCAGAGCCCTAGTTTGAGTGAATTGGAGGAACACTTGTATGAAACCAGTCTCAAACTAGGACCCGAGAGAGTTTTTGCAAATTTTTTTTGTAAAGAAATAATTTATAATAAAATGGTTGGGTTAATGATATGGGCTCGGTCTCTTTTCATGTTCTTGTTTGATTGTTGGTTTGGGATCAGGAACGTGGGCCTTGACTTAACTTTGGTTTTCAGGAAGATGCAGTATGTAGAGCCCTAACAGGAAAGTGGTTCCCAAAATACTCATACCTGTTATGTTTGCTGAGTTTGATTTTGCTGATATATGGATTGATAAAAAAATGCTAGTGGATAAGGCTCTTTAGAAACTGTTGAATAGGAATGCCTGATTTTTGTGATGCCTTATGATAGAGGGAGTTGGTTGCTTGATATATATTACTTGATTTGTGATTGTTGCGTGTATGTCATTAGTTGTATATGGTCGGGATTAAATAGCCTTAGAATGATCAAATTATCCTTACTTCCTATTCCTTTGATTGGTTGTGGACTTAGGGCAGAGTCGATTATTCGACAGTCTATATGATCTCGTATTATGTAGAAAAAGCATGCACAAAAGCAACCGATGGTGCGGGAGCAAGGGTAATCCTAGGAGGAGTGCCTAAGAAGTTAGTTGTAGCTCGTAGGAGAAGTGGGTGTTAGTACACCGAGGGGTGGTCTAATGCAGTGACTTAGGACCTTGGGATGAATTTTTAATCGACTACGGATAGGTGTGGAAAGTAGTATGGACCCGTACTACTGAAAACACAAGATCCGTATGAGATTTAGGAGGAATTTCGAGGCTACTAATGAACTAATAGGAGTAGGGCCTGGTGTGTTGAGCACCGTGTTGTGATATCTGATCTTTCCTTAGTATATTTTTCAGTATGGCGGCTATTAAAGGTTCAGGATTAGGAGTTGGCAGCACCAAGAGAGCAGGTTTGAGTGAGGAGGAGATCCGTGGGATCATTGCTACATAGCTATTCGATGATCACTATGTTGCACTTTCTGAGGTTGTTGTTGCTACAGCTACTGTGGTTGTTACTGCCGTTGGGGTTCAAGGAGAGAGAGCTTTCTAGTATCGGGACTTCGACAATACGAAGCCCCCGGAGTTTGATGGGGTCTTGGACCCGATTGTGGCGATGAGATGGTTGTCTGATGTGGAGGGTTGTTTCTTCACGTGTTCTTTTCCAGATGACCAGAAGGTCAGGTGCGCCCTGAACCTTCTCAGGTTGGGGGCGAGGGATTGGTGGAGATTGGTGACTGGTTCTTGCACTCCTGAGCTGAGGTCCGCGGTGACTTGGGAGTAATTCTCGAAGATGTTCCATGTGAGGTATGTTCCCTTGGTGGAGAGGGAGAGGTTAGCTCATGAGTATTTGGATTTGAGGCAGACGACCGAGTCGGTGACGGAGATCACCAAGATGTTCATTGAGAGGGATTTGTTCAGTCCTGAGTTCGCTGCTTCGGAGCAGGCTCAGATAATTCGGTATTTGGGCATGCTCAAGATGGATATCCGGTAGTTCGTGTCCACCCAACATTATGGTTGTCTCACTGAGCTTCAGGATGCCGCGAGGAGGCGAGAGATCAAGATAGAGACCCAGACAAAGGAGCAGCGTTA